ACATCTTCCAGACTAGGTCGTAGGATCAATACGTGAAAACCAAAATTATAGGCACCAATCCCTGCAGGAGTGGTTTAGATGCAGTCATTCGAAAACAATGTATTCAACTTAATTAAGTAAATCTTTTCAATGTAAAATATGTAACATAAATTCAGGCATGAAATATTTGCTAGCCGATCAGTAACAGACACTTTGCTCTGCTTTTTCCATTTGTTTTTAAAACATCAAACCCCACATTGCAGCTCCACTGCAGACATGCAGAAGACACACTGTGTTGCAGCCAAATCCAATACAATTGAAGTAAATGGCGACCACTTCTTCAAATGTAAAAACTCAACAGAACAAATGGCTATTAACTCAATGGTAAGAACATGTTCACCCCTTAACACTAAGGGGTGGGTATATGTTTATTTCTGTTTCTTAGTTATTTATTTTATTTGCATTGATGTATTTTTTTATAAAATATTACTGTAGTCATAATCATCTGGGGGGATGGTCAGGTTGTGCTAGCTGGTGTTTCAAATCACTTGCCAGTCTGTCAAGTGCCAGCTCTGACTTTGGGCCAGACAGTGGAAGTTGCCATTGAGAGTTTGGAGCCACTTTCCGAGCTGGGAAGCCACTTTTATCAATCCATAATTTTTGTGCAGGTAGCTTGTGTCCCTGAGGATTGTATGTGGTTTTCCACAGCTTTTGGCATCTGGCTTCACTCAAAACGATCTTTATCCCAGGAATTGTAAGCAGCAGACCTCCTGTCCAGGACTGGTGCCCCCCAGGAGAGTGGTGGCTTCAACCAGAAGTAGTATCCCTCTTATGGCCTCGGTTCAGCATGGCTCAGACTGACCTATTTGTGTCAGCAGAGACAACCCCCTGCAGGACGTGGTTCTCTCTGGAAGGTCAGATGGACCATGGATGCACTTTTTCAAAATGGCTGGAAGTATTGTTGTAAGCTTTCCTCCATTCCCTCTGATTCCCCAGGTGCTCAATCGGATCAACTTGGGCCACTACGAGGTGCTATTAATAGCCCCCATTGGTTGCCACCACTCCTTCATTCATGGTCAACCGTGGGATAGGCCAGTCAGGGTAGACATTGTCTCCCAGGCCGGTCAGATATGGCACCCCAGACCAGAAGTCCTGCAGCTTTGGGCTTAGCCCCATCTCAGTCCCTCTCTCAGAGTTTCGATAAGGCTGTCCTGAGGAACATAGGCAATGCCCAGACTCCCTTCACTTGGGTTAACTATGTCCAAAAGTGGAAGGTGGTGTGGTGTTTTCTACATGGTGTCACAAAAGACAGGAAAAGCCAGCCACTATTGAGCTGGTTCTCCGATTTCTTCAGTCACTTTTGGACCGGAACAGTGCGCCCAGCACCATTAAGGTATGCACTACTGCAATTTCTTTCTTCCACAAGACAGTGGGATATCTTACATTTGGGAGATATCTTTTGGTATCTCCTTTCATTAAAGGAGCGTACCACCTGCAACCGGGCAGGACTCCCAGGGCTCTATTGTTGGAACTCCCCTTGGTATTAAGGTCCCTGAGGCAGGCTCCTTATGAACCCATAGCCTAGAGTTTCTATCTCACAAAGCAGCTTTTCTCCTGTTAAGTGAGGATTGTTTAAGATGGAAGACAGATGACTTCCGGTGATGCAGCTGAGCAAGGAGGACGTATTCTCCGGAGCTCTTAAGGAAAACTCGGTTTTTAATTATAAATGACGCCCGCTGTACCTTAAACTTTATCCAACTGGTGAAATATGGACTTGAGATCTCGAAATAAAACGCAAAGTTCAATTATCAATCACTTTTCTTCTCGGGAAACTGTAGCACGTGAAACGAGCGCTGAGCACGGCATGGCCGCGGAACAGCAATGTGATGCAGAGGGAAGCCACGCCATACTACAAGAAATAAAACGGTGTAATGAAGCACTCTCCCAGAAGCTCGATGCAAAAACTGCCGAAATTAATCATTCTATTTTGGGGTTGAAAACAGTGATAGACGGGATGTGTTCACGTATTACGGAGGCGGAGGAAAGAATTAGCTCAGCTGAAGACAAGCTAACTGAATTGGACTCCCATGTCATCCGTCTGCTGAAAGTGAAGGACTTTCTCGTGGACAAAGTAGACCAACTAGAGAATCAAAGCCGGCGCAATAATGTGCGTATTGTCAATCTACAGGAGGGCGGAGAGGGAGCGGATCAGGTGCGGTTCTTTACAGATTGGATCCCCTCTGTGCTGGGACAACAGCGCTTTCCCGAGCCACTGATAATTGAAGGAGCGCAGCGGTCCCCGACATACCGCCGGCCAGGAGAGAAGCGACCCAGGCCCATCCTCATCCGTCTACTCAAGTACCAGGACCGGGATAAAATTCTCCGAATAGCCGCTAAGACATCCAGAGAAAGAGGTTAGCCAATCACTTTCGATGGAGATGCAGTGATGTTTTTCCCGGATCTGAGTACAAACCTGGTGAAGCGCAGAAAGGAATACAACCACGTTAAGAAGGAGCTGCATGCAAAGAAGCTCCAATTCAGCCTCCTGCATCCAGCGACTTTGAGAGTCATCCTACCTAATGGAGAGAAAAGGTTCTTCAAATCACCTGAAGCAGTGGCATCCTATCTCCGAGACGTCCCAGGAAGTGATTAGTGTAGAAAGAGAGGCATTTTCTTTAAGCTTATTGTTGAGAGACTACAAGGCAGGTTACTGTCAAATCTCTAAACTTTTCACATGAATAAGGTGTTGAAATTTGTCAGTTTCAATGTCAATGGTTTAAACGGGCCTGTTAAAAGGAAAAGGGTTTTAACATATTTAAAAAAGATTGAAACGGATATAGCCTTTATCCAGGAGACTCATCTTACCGCACAGGAGCACAACAAATTGAAAAGAGGATGGATAGGCCAAGTCTTCTCTTCATCTTTCAACTCTAAGGCAAGAGGAGTCGCTACTTTAATAAATAAAAACATTCCCATTACTGTTCAGGAAACGATTAGTGATCCATTAGGCCGCTATGTTTTAATAAATTGTCAAATTTACTCTGAACAATGGACTTTATTAAACCTATATGCCCCTAACTATGATGACATTTCCTTTATTCAAGACATTTTTCTTAAAGTATCAGGAGGTCATGAACATATTCTCATGGGAGGAGATTTTAATTTCTGTTTAGACCCAATTTTGGACAAATCAGCAACTTCCACTTCAAAGTCTAAGTCAGCCTCAACTACTCTATCATTCATGAAAGATTTGAATCTAACAGATGTTTGGAGGCAAATACATCCCCAAACCATAGACTATTCTTTTTATTCAAATTGTTATAATTCACATACTAGAATAGATCTTTTCTTACTGTCAAC